ATCATGACTCAGCTCCACATTAATGTGGTGAAAAGTTTCCCCTCCTTGTTCAGCTCATCATATATGTGGACAGTTTTGAGCTAAATCAGAAACAGAGCAGTAATCCGGGATTTCTAGCCCATCCGAAAGGGCTCCAATCCGGAACGGTGGCGATTTTCACCGTACGCCAATTTCTATCAGGTCCATTTGTGAGGCGAATTTTGTGGCAGATTACGGACAACAGGAATAGCGAGAACTCACAAGAACCTGTGGATTCATGTGCAATTGCGCGATAACAAGTTGTCTTTAGCTACATAGGCTAACCATATAAGCAGTAGATTGTAGATTGTAGTAGATCTACTTCTAGACTTATAAAATCAGCATGTCCTCATACATGGTGTCATCGGGATGAAATGCTATCTGACATCCTTTCACTGTTCAACTCCGACTGTTTGCATGGTGTGAAAGACGATCCGCTTGAAACATGAGTGTTTTATTTTGAAAAGAAGCCGGATGTTTTATTTTGTATCTGTGCCTGACTTCCTTTCCAGCACGGGTTAATCTGTGCTGAATTTATCCGGCATGCTCCGGCGTCCAGAAAAAATAGAACTCTTGTGATCAGCTGTGGAACGGAACAAAGCTGGTGGAAACTGACAGATTAACTTGAATGGTTACGATCCGCTACGTTCGGCAGATTCTGCCTTTTCGTAGCCGTCCTGAATGCGGTGGAAATTGCCGGTTAGTCCAGCCCCACCTAGGAGTAGGTGGAGGTACAAACAGCTCACTTATCAGATTAGGTACAAGCAAGTGCAAAGTATACAAAGGGTTGTGTTTGAATATCATGAGATCAATATGCTTTGTGATTCGGATGTTGAGACAGAGCAGATAATAAAGATTGTACTGATGTAAATGAGGGTAAATAATATGCAGTCTTTGGTGCTTGTAGTGCCCCTATAGCAATCTCAGAGAATTTCTCCTTAATGGTTTATATGTCAAGCTTTATGTCATGACTCTTTGCTTGTGTCTGTGTGTGTATATAAGTGTGTCCTTTTAAGGTAACTTGCAACTTCTCTTTACTCCTCTGCCTCACACACACTCTCTTTGTGATGACTATTCACACATTAATTGGGGAAGTTTGTTGTTATTGTCGTTTCTTTGGCCTTCGTTTTATTGTTTTTCAAACTCATTGCGGTACAAAACTGTCTGTGGTTTTTCATATAAAAACTCCACCATTTACCAGCTCATTAAAATGACTTCCCCTCTTCCGCTGCCTTTAAGTAAAACCATTTGAACGAAAGTTAGATTTAAGTGATAAGTACGTTAAGACTTTGTTATTTGCTTCAATTGTTCATTATGGTTTCTCACCAGTTGCTGGTCAAAAAGAGAAAGCCCAAACTCTGCTGTTTTGATCATCCACAATGCTGAGGGAAAACAGACTCTCAGTTGTAGTAGATGGAGTTCATCCCAGTAAAATACTGTGTACACAGAGGAAATGTCAGGATAAGAGGTTTTATTGATATGATGATAGACAGATGAAATCCTCCCGTCCTCTGAGGGAAGCTTTGGTGTACTAGTCAATGCAAAGAAACAAATACCAAACAATAGAAAGACAGGTGCTGAAAAAACAGGTAACTATAGTAAATGATGCAGTGAAATAACATTTGACATAAAATTACGTTTAATCAACTTTCAGCTAAACTGGGTGTTTGGATACTTTAATTTTTTCTTAAATTATTCAAAAAAATCTCCAAATATTAAATGAAACTGAGCAGTTTTTAAAGTGAAATAGCTGGGTTGACTGCTTGTTTTTGTTAAATTAACTTTTTCTAAATGAAAGAAAAATCAACTAGATGATCTGTCTTTGGTTTACTCAAAGGTTTAATGCAAAGGGGAGGTAAAAAAGGTCAAAAAAGAGGGGAAAATGGAACATTGCATGTGCCGGACAGTATGAGCTTACCAGAAGCACAGCATCAGAATCAACAGAACAAACGGTAGTAAAGGATAATGGCTGCAACAGCTCTTGAATGTTAATATTAAGCTTTGAGTTTCTTACAAATTGTACAAATCTAAAACTATTTTGGCTGTAACCATGACATTAGGACCCCAATTAAGCCCCAAATATTCCTGAAGTGTTATACAGTCACAGTTTCTCTAATAAAGAACACACGTCTTGTTTTTGAGGAAGTCACTTTAAGCAGCACAAAATTGCTCTGCTGAACACGGTAGCGGCTTACAACCTTCCTCTACGCTGCCATTGTGAACTGCTTCATGGGATTAATTGGCTGTTAATAGTTTATAGATTTTTCTTTTTCCTTTCACTGTCTCTCCCTGTTACGCTTGTGTCGTACGTGTTGCTGTGCAGATATTTGGCCTTGTAGCGCTTCAAACCCAATTCACTGCCTTTTGTGAAGCTGGCTGCTTTGAAAAGACGAGACCTTCCTGCTGAAGAAAAGCTGCCCACGGCCTCATCGCACCCCAGTGACTGTGTACCTCTCTCTCTCTCTCTCTCTCTCTCTCTCTCTCTCTCTTCCTGCAGCTCTCTCTGTATCTATCAATTCAATTGGATTTCCAGTCCAATCTCATTTTTAGGCATGAATGTTGGATGAGTGCTGTTGCCAAAACATCTCAATACGGGCAAGTCAAAAGTCAGAAGGTGTCAATTTGTTTATGCGTGTAATGATTATTGGCCAAAAGGAGATATTATTGATTTAATGGTAAATGTTTTATGTCTGTTTTGTGTCACTTTAAACAAACAGAAAAGCATTTTTATATTGTTTTGCATATTTCGTCTTATTGTACCAGAAACTGTTTTGTAGAAACCACAAACGCCTGAGAATTACATAACTCTTCTCCAAGCAAATGGAGACAAGAGCGGGGTCTCCATGGCATTAGAGGTAGATGACATCATGTGCTGTGAATAAAACAGGGAATAATATAAAAAAATATGATTAAACTTTACAGTCTGACTGATAGACATCCTCTGTATTCTGAGTGTGCTCTATCTTCTCCCATCGCTTGCACACACTCCCACTGATCAATGATGTGTAGTTAAACATAGTGCCTTTGTCTCCCCTCCATCTTTTTGTATTCCTCGTGCTGTTTTACCTCTAAAAGCACCTGCTGTGGCTGAACAATGAGCCAACAGCATCGGCTGATGTGCCTCAAAGAGACACTAGGGGGCACTACACTGCCATGAAACAGACACGCTCTCCCATTACGGCTCCTTTGTCTTCTATACATTAAGGAACCCGTCTCTAGCCAAGATAAAACCGTGTATGATTATTTTACTTCCCCAGTCGCCCCTCGAAGGTGGCAACGATCGCAGTGGAATCCTTGAGAGATTTTTAATTTCCTGTGACTGGAGATTCACGCGTGTCAGAGGCAGAGGCAGAAATGTAAATGTAATTGCTCTGACGCTTCAGTGAAATGAAGATGCTGCTGAAATGAATCGTTTGTGTGGCTTTTTTTCTTCTTTTTTTCTGTTGTTGACTTTCCTCAAAAGACAAAAAAAAGGAGGGATGATATAAGGACAAAGTGGACTCAAATAGAATCATTATCACAGACAAACCAGTTGTATCGATTGGATCCTCAATTTATTAGTCGACACGGAGAAAGATTTGGCCTTTCAGTGCAGCTAATGTAAAGAAAACACAACATGTGAGCTTTTGATGCATGTGTGCATTTCATGTCCACTTTGCAATGAAAGAGAGTAACACACTATCAGTGATCTTTCCCTGAGCATGTGTGTGTGTGTGTGTGTGTGTGTCAGCGTTTCAGCACTTTTTTTTTTTTTGTTCTGGACACCTACGGGGAGTCTTATTCTATTTGACCATTAACCATGGTTAAAAACAGACTCTTATTCTTTCTTCTCAGCTAATTCTAAGCTGTGCTAATTGAAAATGTCAGCTTCAAAAGTCAAGGCCTGTTGCAGGGAGTTAAGAGACCAGTTGGCATTAAGAAGACCTTAAATCAGCCCTGAGGAAATTGGTTTTATTTTTCCTCCTGCCTTTTTATTCCTCCTTTTTTTCCCTTTTCATATCTTCCTTCTTATCTTTTCGCATTTTTGTTTTAGAGGTATGTACAGGCAGCAGCATGCAAACACACAATAAGATGCTTGTCTTTCATGAAAACTCCCTTACTCTAGCTTTTGTGTAGTCTGTCTATGATGTGATGATCCACAATTTGATTTATGAGAAAATCTGATGATATGGGATGTCTCATGTGACCTGTTTCACCCCAAAAGAAGCAGATATAGTGATTGTTTTTCTTCATTTCTAGCGACTACCTTTGAAAGTAATGACTCCAGGTCAAGACTCATTTGGAAAATAACATCTTGTGGATCATGATCATATTTGAAATATTTCAAACTATTAAAGGAATGCCGGTGTTGCATCAGGTATTACAGGTAAAAAGAAATATCAAAAGACACGTTTCACTTGGCTTTTTTCCCAGTTTTTGGGATTGCAAAATGCTCAAATTTACAAAAAAAAACAGGCCTCACAGCATTGCCTCGGATCGGTCCAACAGGGACACATCAAAACAGAAGAGTGGAATAGAGAGCATTGTTCTGAGCAGGTTTTCACCTTTCCTCGTCTCCTTTCTTCTCCAACACAGAGAAATAGAATTAAATATTTAATATTGTCACACTTGAGCGCCACTCCACACACATGCAGGCTGAGTTCCTGTGTACCCTTGGATGTTCATGTGTTTGTGTGGAAGTGTGTGTGTTTGTACACACACAGGCTTTTGTCAGCTGTGAGTGCTGATCACAGTCGATGATGTAGCGTTTGTGTTGAGTCAATGCATATGATTTCAAGCTTCACTCTTTTCCACTCCTATCGCTGTTGTGTCTTCATCAGTCCCAAGGGACGTCTCGTTTTTCTCTCTATCCACTCCCACTTTATTTCATGTTATCATCATCATCATCATCATCATCATCATCATCATCATCATCATCGTCATCTTGTTTTATGTCATTTCTTTCAAATTCAGAAATCTCGTTTTTGTGGGTGTTGGTTAAAATGTTGGCTGAGGGCCGTAAAGCGCACAGCACATCAATTAATGCACAATTACAAGGTGCCAGGGTGTGTATGTGTGTGCGAGAGAGAGAGAGAGAGAGAGAGGGAGAGTGGAGGAGAGAGTGAAAATGAGAGAGAATGAAATAAAGGGAAAGAGAGAGGAGTATATGTGTGTGTGTGTGTGTGTGTACTGCTCAAATCTAATTATTCTTTGGCTTTCCTCAGAGCAGGGACAGAGTCCGTTAGACAGACTGCTGGTGGCTGAAGGTTTTCATTGCTGCAAATACCCCCCCTCTCTGTTTCTTTACATCTCTCTCTTTATTTCCTCCTGTCTGCTCTCTCCCTCTCTCTCTCTCTCCCTCATCCTCCCTGCATCCTGCCTCACCCCACCTTTCTCTCTCTGTCTTTCTCCTCCTCCTCCTCCTTCGTCCATCCTCCCGCCCCCTGTCCATCTCTACCTTCGTATCCCTCTCTCTCCTCTCTATCACTCTCTCGCAGATGCCACATCATACCACACGCTCTCCCTCTCTCTCTCATCCTCTCTCTCTCTCTCTCCCTCTCTCTCTCTCTCCCCCCTGTCCGTCTGCTCTCTGCTCTCTCATTCGTTGTGCCGGCTCACCGCCGGCTGTCAGTTCATTTTCCGCGGCAGAGCAACAACTGGCTTCTTTCAGAGCCGGGAGCTGAGAGAGGAAGGCGAGAGCTGCAGGATGAGTGGAAAAAGAAAAAAGTGAAGGAGGACAAGAAAGAAAAGAAAAGGAGGAAAAGAGGAGGAGGAGGAGGAGATCTTTTGTTAAGCATCCTTTCCTCCCCTCTTCTCTCTTTGGCAGCAGCAGCATCAGCACCACTGCCTCCATCAGCGCCGCCGCTCCCGCTGCTGGATCCTCTGTCTCCTGCCGGGATCTGCCTCCTCCTTCTCCTCAGGGAGCTCTTCCTGGAACTGGGGGGGAGGGAGATCAGCACCTCCCAGCTTGCCGTGGACCCTCGGCAAGGCATCGGGGGAGAGAGGGAAGGAGGAGCAGGGGATTTTAGAAGAGGCCGACAGGAGTGTAGAGGAGAGGCAACACCCTGGTTTATAGGAGAGAGGAGAAGAGAAGAAGAAAAGAGGGTAAGAGGCCAGCAGAGTGGACCTGTTGTCGCAGTTTCACCCTGTTATTTTGATTTTTCAACTCTTTCCTCCCATTGTGGAAAATTTCTGAAGCAATTTTTGTGCATTTTTCCCTCTCTATCTGATCAGAGGAGATTTTTATTTCTATTTTTTTTCTAATTGTCCTCCTCAGTGTGCCGTATTCGTCTCCTAAAGTCTTTTTTTTAAGTGCTTGTAAATGTTTCAACCTGTATTATCCCTTTTTCCCCTCTTATATGCTGTCCACCGTTGCCATATTTGTAGGACCGCTGGTCAATAAAATCAGAAAAATGAAGGATGTGGATGTCAGTGTGTGAAAGTAGAGTCCCATGAGTGAAGAAAGAGATGGGAAGGAAGAGCAGCAGTTCTTCATCGTGACAGAAAATTAAAAGAGGGATTTTAAAAAGAAAGGAAACTTTTGACTCGAGAAGACATTTCACTCTGATCGTCTGTTTTCTTCTTTTTGTTCTGACAACCTGTGGTCGTCTGTGTTTGATTTGTTGAATTTGTAATAATGTGTGATGAAGTTTGGATGAAGGCGAAGGGAAGAGAAGAGTCTGAGTGTTTGATTTTAGCTGTTGCCCCTGCTGTCAGAGTAATCTGATGAGTCTCCAGGGTGCTTCCACTGAACAATCAATGATACTTTGGCTAGCCGACCTCAGTGTGTGTGTGCGTGCGTGTGTGTGTTAGCGCGCATGTGTGTGTGCAATGATCTCTGGCAGGAGCCCTCAGGTTCTCTTTCCTCTCCCTCATACAGATGGCCTGGGTTGGGCCAGGCTAGCCGTGGATTTGCGTATACATGTGTGTAAATGTGTGTGTGTGTTTGGCTGCGGGTGGTAAATCCCAGCTCTCTGCAGCTCGGGGGTGGTTGGACGTGTTTAGATGGGTGGGGGTCTTCCTGGTTTTGGATGAGGATATGTGTTTGTATAATTGTGCGTATGTGTGTTTGTGTGTCTCCTGGGCTGAGAGGTCCTGGGCAGCCAGCTGAGAGAAGAAATAGACAAAAAGAACTTGTGGATTTGCATCTCATGTGCCTTTTTTCCCCTTCTTCATTCTTTGTTTTCTCTCTCTTTCTACCCCTTTTCTCGGTGTTTTCCTTTCTTTTCCTTTGTACCGTGTTGATTCTGTCTATCAATCTGTCTGTTTCGCTTCAGGCTTGCTGCAGAGTTTAAATTTTTCATCCCGAAGAATGAATCTGTTTCCTTAACCAATCCTGGATTGACTCGGTTTACTCTTCGATGTAAACGCAAAAATATCCAAAAGACACGTCCTCTACCTGAACCGCAGCAAACTGTGTTTTCCTGCCTCAGTTTTGATAAATGTGTGTGATGCAATTCAAATTTAGAAACAGTCAATCTCATGTCAGCCCCCCAGCTTCAAGGATATACACACACCGATGAGCCTATTCCTTTTACCAAACCATCCGGAGAGTAATTGTAAATATTGATTAGAGACAACAAATCAATGGAATGATTTTGGATCGGCTTAGCTGGAGCTTGCTCTTTGTATTCAGTCGGCTAGTTCAATTAGAATAGAATGGAATAAATTTGCTTGAACTTTTCATCCATTATTCATGGCCTCGCTCCTGCATTTAAACTCATCGCTTTAATTTGAAAATAAAGAAGAGGGGGAAATCATAATAATGATTGCCAAATTAACATTTAGGAATTAATTTAAAAGGCTTTTTAACATTTAAAATTTGGAAGTGAAAAAAAGTCCTCGGGCTGCCTCTGTTGAATTTTAAGTTGAGCTTGAATGTATATATTTTTCAATAATCGAAATCATCCTGATGGGAGCGAGGGGGGAGCAGGCTGGAGTGCTGCGGGAAAAAAGCAGCACTATTTTTATAAAATCAAACAAATTAGTTCGCTGCATGTGCTGCGTCCTCCCTCCTGTGGTTAAATCCATGTGTTGATTTCTCTCCTTGTGTTGCAGAGGTGGGAGGGAGTGGGGGGTAGTGGTGGTAATGGAGTGTACGGGGCTATTGTCACACCACGGCTGCTCCCTGCCTGACCTCCTTAACCCCGCGTCTCCCCTGTGTGTGCACCCCCCCTCCCCTAAAACCCAACCCCTCCCCACCCCCCACCCCCCTCCTAGATCTCATTATGCCAGCGTAGGGCCAAGCAGGACCACAGACGGCAGCAGGGAAACCAAATGTCACCGCTGGATGAGGATCTCCAGATTACAGGGGCAGCGCTGCCAGGTTGTGACCCAGGTAAGAGGCTTGCGGTGGGGGGTTCGGGCTGCACCACACTCCCTTTCCCCCCCCTGATACCACCAGAGTTTTATGAAAAGAACTAAGAGAGTCTGAATCAAGCACACCTCAGCTTCTCACACCCTTTTTTTTTTATTTTGTTTCTTTCTGTTTTCACCCTCCACACATGCTGCTGGCTGGGATTGAAAATGCCACCGTTGTCAATTTTCTCCTTTTGCAGAAGAGCCATTGATGGAGCCTTGCCTCACGCTGCAGCTAGGCGTCTTCAATCAATGCAACTGCCCCTCTTTCTCTATATGTGCATGTTTCTGTTTGCCACTGGAGCCTGAAGGGGGGCTGCTGATGGCGGCGGCGGTGATGGCCATGGTGGTGATGGTGATGGTGGTGGTGATGATGATGATGCGATGGCAGTGGCGCTGCTCACGTGGTTTCTGGCTTAGCTCCCTGTGTTTACTGAAAGACTCTCTTCGGTGACGGGTATTCTTGGGTGGATAATACGGATCACGTTGTTATTGCTTAAGAATACGCGTAGTCGAGGAGAGTCCTCTCTTCGCCCAATACCAGCAACACCCCCATCCCTCCGACACCCACCCACCTCACCTCACCTCACCCCAACTACCCACCCACCCACGAAGGACTGTCAGGATGGGTGAAGCCACACCCCCACTCTCCACACTTCGAAAGAGAAAATCCCACCTTTTCTTTGATCTGTACTGGATCGAGAGGTTTCTTTTTCCTGCCCACTTCCTGTTTGCTGAGCCATGGTTTGGGGCCCAGAATTTTCTCACATTTGTCCTACTGTGCATCTGTCAGTCTGTCTTTGTCTACGAGGCACTGGAAAGCTTAGTCGGTGTGTGTTTTCTGTTTCTGTGTGTCTGTCGGACATGTTGCTTTGAGATTGTTTAGTCCAGGAGTAAAAACTGTCTCTCTGTCTCGTCTTCAAACAACTTTGGATCATTTTAAGTATCTGCATGTAAAGTGTCTGTCGTCATTACACAAGACAAGCATGACAGCCTGCAGCACTAATACTGCGGTGAATAATTCATAGTCAGGTCTTATTATAGGTTTGCACATGTATGTGGTCAATATAGTGGCTGGAAACCTTTACTAACAATTGAAGAAGACTTTAGCCAAACTGTAAAATGTGTGAAAATGGCACAAATCCTATATGTTAACTCTAGATCAGAGAGGAAATGATACTAAAAAAATTAACACTTTTATTCAGAGAGGCTTTTTTGGCCTTTTTTAACCACAACGCCATCGTACATCTTAGATACAAGGACAGCTGGATGAACAGGCCGAGTCTGATTTGTTTCATTTACACACTATCTTCACACCTCTGATAACTTGATTGAAAACAAATTTGAAATGTTCAACGTATAAAATAAATGGAGAAATCAAGAACTTGATAAATTGTAAAAAGAGAGAAAATGTGTAGACTCTGTTTAAGAAAAGAAAGGAAAAAGAAAAAAAAGAAGGAGAGTATTCATCTTGGGCCCTAAGCAAGTCCAGATGATGCTGCATTTCAATGAAGGTTGATTTTTTTAGATTAAAAGGCCAATTTTATCAACTTATTTATTTTATCAACAAAGTAGTTCATATACAACAAACCTAAAAGTTGTGGAGCCCCTGTGCTCTGACGAATTTGTTGATTCCTCGAACAGATTCATTATTTATCATTAACAAGAAAAGAAAGTGGCCAGGATTGTTCTTCTTTTAGTTCAAAATGACTCAGACTCAATAATTTAAACACCATAATGGAGTTAAAACAAGAAGTAAAACTGCTTTGAGTTTACTTTAAATATTTTTATTCTTATTACTATTTGATTTTTACAATTTCAGCCATGAAACAATTACTATCGACTGTTTCTTTTAAATGTAATCAAAGTTAAAGATCCTGAAAGCGTTTCAGTTTGGGTGTCTCATTTTATGGCCCATGCACAACAGAAAAGAGGCTCAATTAAAAATCACTTCAAGGCCATTTGGTTTAATTAGATTTGGATAGGTTCAGAGGCTGCTGATGGTCAAAAAGCTGAGGAGGATGTCGTGAAAATTTTTGCAAGGAAAGAAAAAAAAAAAAAAAGCTAAGCTCAAGTGAAAAGGACATGCACGATGTAAAACATGCAGTCGGGCATTTTTAGGAGAAATAAAGAAATGAATGGTATGAGCAGGCCTGTGGTCTTTAATGATGTATTAGCACACAGTATAGTGCAGCGTCTCCTCCGGTCGTTGTTACAGAGCTGAACCTTCTGTAATTCAGCTCCATGTGGTGCATTTATTATGGGGCCGAGCCTGCCTCTCACCTTCCCCCCTTTATGCTCCTTTTTTATGTAAATGGCTGCTGAAATGTCATTTATCGCAGTGAGGTTTACACCGCATGTAACACCACTGATGCACACACACACATACACACACATACACACACTCGAATACAGACGCACACATTCGGCTGAGAAAACAAAATGTCCACCAAGAGCAGTCGACAGCTCAACTTATGCATCGAGGAGAGAGGCGTCAACATAAACAATTACTCCTGGCTCAAATGGTCTATAACCAGCTTTTTCTGTTTTGCTGACTGGGGGGGTGGGGTTGTGGGGGGGGGGGCTCCATGAATATGGATTCCCTCTCCATGTCTGATGGCACACTCTGAACCTTAACACCCATGTAAAATCCATTTAAACACCTAATAGGATCAACTTGACTCATACAACCATGTCACCCCCCGTGATCATACGCTGGAGATTTCCTTATCCCACCCAGGAGAGTGTAAATCATTTCTCACACGCCTTCTTATAACTGGTAGGAATGTCAAATGAGTCTATTTTTGTGTCTGTTTTTATCGTCACGTAGAATATGACCGTGCAGGAGTATATTTAAAGTAAGTCACTCAGATATGCACATGATTGTAATTATACGAATCATCCCAGTCATTACAATTGCAGATTATTCAAATAGTACAATTACATGTTGAACGCTTGGCTCAGCTGATAATTACTGTTCTTTCTCTTATGGAAACAAACAAAGCGCCATGCTAAAATGTGTGTAGGAGGATGTAAAATAGAACGATTGTGGCGTAATCACAAATGAACAAATCACACACACACACACACACACACACGTTTTCCTCCCCCAGCTTTTTTCCTGTTGATTGTCGGAGACGGTGTGGTATGGTGTGGTGTGGTGTGGTGTGGACGTCCTCTCGCTGTTTGTTTCCCTGTACGTCTGTGTGTGTCTCTGGGTTGCTTGTTGTTGCTGCTGCTGCTGCTGCTGCTGCTGCAGGGCCTTGGCTGGCTGACATCACCGCTGCCACGTGATCCAGTTGTTCTGCATTGCATGAACACTTTATACTCACCGCTAATACACTGTAAGCCTCTGATCATTTAAAGAGATGGCTACATTTTGCTCACATGAAACCTAAATTCTAGGATGAATATGTAAAATTTAACACATTAATAATTAAAGACGCTTTCAAGACTACATTCGTATCACATCTAGTGACTTAAAGCACATCTCCTATTGACGACTTCTTTCTTCAACAATCACTGCAGTGCACACTCACAAAAGGCTTGTCAGTGACAATGACGTGGTATAAAGTGATGTCTCAGTTTCACTCTGTGTGTGTGTCTAAGCCTGTACTTGGACTGTCTCTGCTTGTTTCCAAACTGTTGTAAAGAGCTGCCATGCTGTAAATCACATTGTTGACACTCAATATGACTTGATGAATTTTTGACTACTGTAGTTTATCCTCTCACTGACTGACTGACTGCTGCTGCTGCTGCTGCTGGTGGTGGTGGCACTGGGATGTCTGAACTGTGGGTTATCTAATGTGTACGATGCCAATCCTTCATGTCTTTGTCTGCACTCTAAGAGCATTGTGGTTGTGCACTAATGTTGCTCTGTACTAATGGCATGCTGTTCTGATGATGATGATGATGATGATGATGATGATGGTTTTGAAGCCAACCAGGGACAAATGCTGCATGCTTTTAAATCATTTGAACAAAAGCAGTGACAGACTGTCATTGCTCTCCTGTAAGTGTTTCTTGATTTTGTCTATAAAATGTGGCTGTTTTTACAAATAAATATATTTTTTAATGGAAATGTGACATGAAGCTTTACTTAACATGACAAAATATACATTTAAAATCAACCTTTTTAAAGGGCCTCCTTCTAAAGGCATTTTTAATTTCAAGAAGAAGAATAAAATCAGACTCTATGATGCATTTTGGATCAGTGTGTAGATTAAACTGTGGGAAAGAGTTGTTTTCCTACAAACACAGAGACAGTCCTGTCAGTGGATATAAAACTTAGAATCCTAAACACGTCCTCCTTAGCAAGAGGATCAGCTATGGACTGCTGCCTAAACATTTTTCTGTCTCTGCACTTTAAAAACCTCCTGGATCTCACTCCAGAGGCCTCTTCAGTGATCCCACGGACAAACCTGAAGATTAAAAACTAAAACCCATTTCTTCCTCTGCTCTGACTTCTAACTGAGAGTTACACCAGGACAGCTGGGAGGGAAAACAATGGCCAGTCTGGGCTTTCAACTTTAACACTTCATCAAGTCTCCATCTAAAGTCAATATGTAACACACACTTGATGATGTTCAGTGTAGGATTTTTAATTGTTCTGTAGCTTCTAATCAAATGATGAATTGGCATAAATAGTGGTTTGCTCTGCTGGATTACAACTTTGACAAGAAAGCAAGAAAGACAGAAGGAAAGAAAAAAAAATTAAGAAAGAAAGAAAGAAAGAAAGAAAGAAAAGTAAAAAAGATAGAAAGAAGGAAATAAAAAGAAGGAAAGAAGAAGGAAATAGAAAAGGAGAGAAAGATAAAAAGAAGGAAAGAAAAAAGAAAAAAGGAAATAAAGAAAGAAGAAAAACAGACAGAAAGAAAGAAAGAAAGAAAGAAAGAAAGAAGGAAATAAAAATGAAAGAAGAAAGTAAAAAGAAAGAAAGTAAAAAGAAAGAAGGTAAAAAGAAAGAAAGATAAAAAGAAAGAGGAAAAAAAGAAAGAAAAAAGAAAGATAGAAAGAAACAAATAAAAAAGAAAGAAAGGAAAGAAAAAAACAAATAAAAAAGAAAGAAAGATTTTGATTTTAAGACAAATTTATTTACAAATATTTTCAGTGTGCGATATTTGTTCTGTTAATTTATGAATATTAGTATTTCAATATTTTCAGACTTTCATAAAGATAGGATTGAAGCACAGCCTCCCATCAACAAAGGAACAAACAGCTGAAATACAACACCACTGAGACACAAACTCCTCCAGATTCCTCATAACAGAATAAAACCTGAAGTCTTCAGTGACTCTGGCTTTGACCAAGGACACAAACATTTGCAGCACCTCTTCCCCCTAAACACCATTTATGGCATTTTTTCTGCTTTTGTATATGGGCAGTTTGGCTTGTCCCACAACAAAATTAAATAGCTGCCACTTTCTTGCATGTCTCTTATCATATCCTGCTCCAAAGATTAAAGCAGTTTCAGACCAGGGCTCACCACTGTTCTCAAAAATAATTTTAAGTCAGTTAAATAAAGAAAGCAGT